CAAAATTTATTTTTTTACTTATAATGATAGCTCCAAACTAAAAAAGAGGGTTCAAGAATTGACAGAGTTCTATTCTGCAAAAAAATCATCACATTAGAAATGGAATATTTATAACAGTAGTTATAATGTTTAAAGTTAATTTGTTATTACTATTATTATTATGATATAAATAAAGGTTGTTGTAAGGCTGTTACTAAAACTTTGATTTATTGCTGTGATGAAGATTTTAATAATTTTTCTGACTTCTAAATCAAATTACAGTATTAGTGTGTCTGCAATAATTTAAATGGCAAATTTGTACACTAATCTAAATAGAATTGAGCATGCAAAATTAAGAAAGATGCAGCTAAATGGCACAATACATGTCTGAATAGGCTCCTTTTGAAAGCATATTAGTTTTATAGACATTACATTACATTCTGGACTGACTGCTACGTTATTGCCTTGTAAAAAAAAAATAAAATAAAACGGTATAGACCAGAATGTGTCCTGAGGTTTGAATGTAATTTATTATCTTCTAAAACCAATAATTTAAATTTAGTAAACTCAGCTAAAATTCCTATAATCAAAGTGACAAGTAACATTGAGAGAGGCAGCAAGATCTAAGTGCAATTGTGTCAAGCAAGGAATAAGGTATGTGGCATAAAGGCACTGACAATCAATGTAGATGCAGTTGTCAAGAAGAAAACAGCGGTTCAAGTTATCATAAAGCTAATGTTAGATTAATACGTAACTTATGCTGTTAATTGATATAAAAAACGAAAATAATAAAGCCGTTATTATTTGTAACCAGTAATACAAAAGCTACTTTATATTTACTGTTGTTACTGTTATTTTATATTACATAAATAATTGCGATAAAAAAAATAATTTTGGGTAGTTTGACAAATTTATGCACGACATATACAGGCTATTCGCCAAACCCTGACTTTTGATATAGTCCCAATTCGCATCGCACTTGAGATGTATAACATTTTTTAATCGCATATCGAATGATTGTTTATGTTGTAAATTATACGTTTATCTAACTATTCAATTACGACAATGATATAAATTACGAGACGTTTGTTTATTTATTGCAATAAGATTTAGTTTTACGTTTGGGAAGATAACATTGCTTCGTACATTATAAGATTTACTCATAAGAGAATAAACCATGTCGAACAACACGATATATTCTCGAGACTTGAAGCGTTGTATTTGTCTTCTCTCGTCTCTGCTTTTGTCATTTTAGCTTTGAAACAAAAAGACTATTTATAAAATTACACTCAACTGGCCTTCACTAGCAAGAATTCTTATTTTAACTAGAAAACGCAAAATCAAACCACGCATTAGCAAACATAGAAATCACAAAGCACACGTTACATCACACACATTACAAAAAAAATGGAACCCGTTTTTGTGTAGTCACGATAATAATAATTTATTGTTGTACAAAGATATAGTATAACATTTGGCAAAAGAAAAAACTCTTACAAGTTGCTAATCATACATGGTTATATATATGTCACAACAAAAATACAAGATTTAGAAACTAAACTCGAAAAAGACTTGGCCATAATTTAATTGAAATCAGTGCCTAGAATAATCTGGGGGGTAGGCTTGCACTGTACGGCTTGTTTCACTCTTGCAACGCCCAAAATCTGGTGGCCGTTGTTTTGGTTGTTTTGGTTGTTCTGACCATCGTTGTTCTGACCGTCGTTGTTCTGACCATCGTTGTTCTGGCCATCGTTGTTCTGGCCATCGTTGTTCTGGCCATCGTTGTTTTGGCCATCGTTATTTTGGCCGCCGTTGTTTTGGCCGTCGTTTTGGCTGTTGTTGTTCCTTACATCTTTCGCAACAATGCAGCATAAATCAACGACATCGCTAACCGTTTTGTTGTGAACGACTTCAAAGAATGGTTGATCAAAAATGTCGTTGTTGTCGTCCAAAGAAATGCCTCCTTCAATATTGTTAAAGCTTAAGTCGTTGCACTTGGTTACGTGTACGTCAAAGCCAAGGTGATCAGCCGTCTGCTCCGTTGTAGCGTTTTCAAAGTCCAGAAAACCGCTGACGTATAATGAGTTGTTAAACGTTTCCGTAAATTGAATAAATCCATCAAACACGTCTATATGACGTTTACGAGTGTCAAAGATGCTGCCCTGCTGGAATAGACAGACAGCGATCGGACAACATTGAGTATTGGCGGGTGGAGTGTTATTCCATCTTCTTTGAATACTAGCAACGGCGGCGGCTGATGAAGGGATTACAGAGAAAAGAGCAATAAAGAGAAAGACCAAGCAGATGTTGCGGCTCATTTTGATAAGTTAGTGTTTTGAATAAGCAAAAAGTAAAATTGTATCGTTATAAGAGAACCGATTGTTGAAAGACTTTGTTTGTTAACTCGTTCTGAGCTGAGGAAAAAAGAACTTGGATTCTTCTCGTTTATATAACCGTGGAAAGCGAGGAAATCGGAGCATGTGAAAGGTAAAAATAGAATCAAAGCGGTGGAACGAATGCATTAAGAGAATTAAGAGATCTATTTTGAGACGTAAAGAGGACAAAGGTCGCGCACAACAAAAATCGCCTGCATTCAAGCAATATCTAACTATTAAAAGGATGTGAAAGCAGACTTGAACTTGTTCTATCCTGTAATAATAACTTTTGATATTGCGCTTGTATTAAAGAGGAAAATTTTATCAAAAAAAAAAAAAATTCAGACCCCGATATAAACCTGTATATTCCGGGAATTAAACAATAACGCTTATAAGCGTAACTAATTTTATTGACTTGTGACTAAAAAAAGCGGAATCATTGTTATTTATAACATAACGCGAGTATTTTTAAATTTTTGCATATCGTCTCAGCCGATAGATTCGTTGCAGAACTCGTTTTTAATATTTTCTTGTGGCTCTCGGGCTCTTTCTGCATTATTTTTACATTATTATTGTATGACCGTTTGTCTTTTAAAAGCTTATGTTTTAATTGGCAAAAATCAAAACGAGGCGGTTTGAGAAGATAATGTTGTAGATCTTGACACTATGCTAATTACAATGTCTGTTCTATACGACATTATTTATTACGCTCTTTTTACATGTCATCTGGTTAACATACTAAACAGTTATGCGTATAATCCTGAACGCGGTCCTGAGTATATTTGTGTAACACTTAACAATTGTGAGTCGTCTCTTTGCAGTAATTGTTTTTAAAATACATATTTGTATAAAAAACGGTAAGCATATTCTCGGCAGTGGCGCTCTGTGTTAGTTCCACATTACGTAAGATCTCAATTTAATTGACTGCTCAAATTTGTGTAACTCTTATTCGTGTGTACATGCATGTGGATTATCTTACATTAAGACAAGTGCACACATTGTTAGAAGGTGAGCACATCAAAAAGGCTAATCGTTCATGATTGTTTGATGATTATCAGTTAGACAATCTACTTGATCGGTGTTACTTGCTTTGTCTTATGATGTTATTATTTAGATAAATTAATCGATACCTTTTTGTTTATTTGTATTGTCTTGTTTATTTCTGTCAACATTTTACGTATTCTCGTATCTCTGTATGGGATAGCAAATAATGACTTCCGTAACTGCACAATTGCTACGCCCTTACACAAAAAGTTTTTGATGTCAAAGACAAGATAAAAGTCAAGTTGTCGAACACAGACTAAAAATAATAAAAGTTAAATATAAGTTTACGTTGTTAAGAGGAATAAGTCGAATCAAAATACTGACTTTTTTTTTTCGGAAAAGTTTGTTACAATAATTTCTGCAATAATTTCTGCAAGGTTGTATTTGGTTATCAATATTAACGATTTTAATGATTGCAATTCATTAATCATTAAGAGCATACGTACTACTCACGGATACATAGCCGTTGTTCTCTTTCCATTTTTACGTCTATTAATGCTTTCACGCCAAATACTTTTTGCAGTAAACATCACGTTTCTGCGCATTGCACTTATTGTGATTGTGATATCAGTTATCAGACTTAAAACTTACTTGATGTGTAATATTATAAGCGAGAACCCTTGGCATTCAGTTTATAGTTGAAAGTATGTTCTAGAAACCAAAGTATTTGTGAAACAATACTGTTTACGGTAAGTGATGAATGATGAGAATTTAAAACTGCACCAGACGCAATTATGTAACATGACCGATGCGATGTCAACAATAAGACATCATATTCCAGTGCAAATAACAGCGTTTGAATTTGTCACATGATACTGATAATAATAATGACAAGTACAGATTATCCAATTTGATATTTGCCGTTTATTAAGTTTTAATAGTCTACCTTGTAATCTGGGTTTATGATACTGTCAGCAATAATATTTAAACAGATAATAAACACATTACCCAATAATACTGTCTTAGCGAACGTTGTGTTTATGTTTATTGTGATGACATTGATTTGCAGTCGATCGGGGTAACATTGCATGATTGCCCAAACAAAAAAATGCGAAAACAAATGCGGTTATGTCGTATGACGCACATATTTGATTTATGCCAATTTAAACAGTTTACCGTTGGGGTAAGTAACAGGTCTGGTAAATTTTAAACAAAAATTCAAATATTAATCAAGACTTTTTTTTTTGTCCAGACCGAAAACCATTTAACCACCAGTGCAAAGCTTTGTGGTTTGCATTCAAATTTTTTACTTATAATTCAATCAATGTACATGTAAAGTACAAATGTATTAATACTGTAAATGCTGAATGGAATACGTAAATGACGGAGATTATCAAGTGTTATGCATGTACCGATTACGCCAGTGTTTTTTCCCAGGAAAGCTATTATTAGATTACAATCGGTTATTATCGTCAAAATTACAGCAAAACGGCCTTTGCCGACTTCTGCGTAACAATATAAACAATTAATAAAATTTGTGTCTGAGTTTGGGACCCGTCTCAGTAACCAGTCGCTCAGTCCAGATTATTCGAGAGCTGAGATCGGTCCCCCAACCGAGGCACAACATTACTTCGGCTAGGCAATTGACATTTTAGATCGCAAACCTGTTGATGCATGTCGCTGTCATTTTCCTACCCCCTTTTCACAATCACTGCGAAAGACAATCGTTATTGCGGATAAGAATGTTGTGTAGCTACTAACACACACATTAGTATATCATTAGGCGACTAAATTGATTAATTGATAACGCTAGGGCTAATGGTGAATTGAATAGAGCGAGGACTGACGGATGTTGAAATTATCTTGGAATCAGCGGTTGAGGTGAATTTTTGCTGTTATAATCGGTTAACATACATCATATTCGAGTAAGTGATGTGTGATGCTTGGCGTTGCGTTTAATAATTAGTCGATACTTTTCCTTTTCAGTCGTTTCATAAGAATGTAGCACAAATTAAAAATGCTAAGACGATTTTGGTGGGTTTATTTTCCAAATATGAGCAAGCAAATAGCTCCAATAGTTCCGATGCTTTTCTCGGTCACTTTTATGGTAGTACGGCATAATTTGCATATCATCAATACTAATATGGTAGATATTTAATAGTGTGGCTTGTATTCAACGTCCGAGATGAGGCTACTGTGATGCTTTCTCCATACTTCGAAGACTAACCACTTTATGCAAAGTTTGAGTGATAATAAAAGTGATTGTAAATAACAATGTTACGGATATAACCGTACGCACAACTCGGAATGCTGTATAGACTGTTCGACTTTTTGTAAATATCAAAAATAATGTATATTGGTCTGTGATTATTTTTAAGGAAACATCCCTTAATTTGTTATGCACGAATGCGGCGTGTCTATAGTCAAAGCCGTATGCTCCACTTTCCATTGAAGCATATACAGTATATCCCTCAACTGAGAGTTATCGTCTTCCTCATCTAAACAGAGCCAGCGTACGTTACTTTTTTCTCTCTTTAAATTTGTCCGAAGCCTGAGTCAGAACGCATAGCGCAATCGTGAAATCTATAAGAATGCTTATAATTGGTTGGTTCAATATTGCCATAACGCTAAATGACAGTGACCGCTTATCTTCTCTTTCAATCCTGTTGTATCCTGTGTGCTATTGAGAACAATTCTTATGGGCTGATCATTTGCATCATCGTATAAATATGAGCGATGCAGAAATAACGTTACTATTCCTGACAGACAACTATATTTATTGACTTGATTGTTCTTTTCCTTGACCACGAACGATGTTAATGTGCGAATTATCTGTGTTTAAACTCTTCAAAACCCTTTGTGTTTGGTTGCCTTATCACAAACTAGGTATTAAGTGACTGACAACAACGAGATTTAATAAAGACTGGCAGAAATTATCGGGGTAGCAAGTTTAATGTCCTCATATACATAAAGTTAACAACTAAATGTTATTGCGATTTTCAAAATGCTGTGACACCCTCAAATTGATTACAGATTACAGATTACAATTATCACGTGACATTTCGAGTAAAATTCCAGATCGCAATACTTCCTGGTATTAGTATGGAGGGTATAATTCCTTCTAGAATGTATCTTCTTGGCGCCTGCTTTGACTGCCAGTTTGGTTTTTATTGTGGGAAAGACAATAGCTATGAATTGTGTGGTTGCAATAAGGAACGAAGGATTAGCCGAGACCGTATCAAACCAGGAGTCAAAAGAGCTTATTCTCGCGTCTATAAACCGCAGAAATCTAACCCTTTACAAACGTCTTTAATAAAGTCTCGTAATGATATATATGAATATAACTTGAATTTAGATGAAAGTTTTTCATTTACTTTGTGTTCTACTTGCCATAAGCAGTTTTCAAAAACTTAATAAAACTAACCAGAAATCTATCTGTTCTATTATTGAACCTGGAGATTCGCAGACGGAAGAGACAACATTAATGGATGAAAAGATGATAAAGCCGATGCCATCTTTTCATAAAGAATCTCCCAACATGGAACTAAAACTTCTTATTAAATCGGGCTCTGTAGCAAATCCAGCGAAATGGCTTACCTTGCCATTAGCTAGTTTTCTGGAATTTATCAATGCTTTACATGAAGAAGTTAAATCTCTGCTTGGTTACGAAAACATAAAGAAGAAACATTATACAGTTGCATATAAAGAATCAACCGCTAGTGGGGCAGGAACTCTTGATGGAAACCGATTTTGAGAAATTTCTGACTGAATACCAACGCATGAATAAAATAGGGAAATCTCTAATGGTTTTAGTTTCATTAACTAAACATAATAATAAAAAAGGAAACAATAGAGAATGGAAGAGAAAAAAGAAGGTAAATGTTTATATTTGGAATTTTTATTCATTTTTTTATCTTACTTGTTCCAACTTAGCCTTTTCTTTTAAGGCTGTGTCAAAAGGGAGTGAATCTTCTTCTTCGACATCGACAAGCGATATACCCACAATGCCAAAAAAGAAGGCGAAAATGCCTAAGGTTAAAGATCTCAACGAAAACGAAATACGCATTGCTGAAACAATAAATGTGTTACGTAACCGATATCACTGTACACAGCATGATCGATCATGTCTGGTACAAAATCATCATCATCTCAGACTAACACCCTCGCATCTCAAACTTTGGGCTCACGACACCGTAAGTTACAATTTTCCTACAGACTATTTCAATTTACGTTCACATAATAATGGACTGTTTTCTAGCTGCATGGAGGATCTATTGAAAGTCCGCCGACGTTACCACTATTTGGTATGAACTCTAGCAAAGAATTATCTGCGCCAAGGCCCATTCAACAGTCGTATCTACCTCCACCACCTCATTATTACACATATGCACCATCTTATCCACCATCTTCACCGTCATCTCTGTCGTTATCACACTCAACGGTTTTGTCACCGCAGAAGAAGATACTAATACCATCAATAAAAGAATTTTTAAGCGAACTCGATGAAATTCATGGTGAAGGCACTTACACACGATTTGAGGATTCCTTCGTGGAACAGGAAGTGTTAGTTCAGTTTATTTCTGAACTTACTGATACAAAATTTGAAAAATTAGGCGTAGAAAAAATCGGATGGCGTAAAGTCCTGAAACGGGCTGCTTTAAAATATGCCTAGGATGGATGGTTTAATTTCTCAAGACTCTATTAGATATTTATGTAATATGTATAAGTCTTATGTCGCATTTTAGTGCGTCTTTTGTTGATTGAGATAAGGTTTTCTCAACTTTCTTTGCACTGGATTTAGTCAAATCGGAACAGATTTGTTTCGAAAACGTCGACAACATCAAACATTATAAGAACGATGCTTTATTGTAATTGTTAACAATAAATTGATTTATTGAAATAACCGTGAGCCATTTCTGGCGTAATTTGTGCACACGCAAGTAGTAATGAATAAGTAGGGTCTTCGCAAGCATTCGTAAAATCGTTATTTCTATTGAGCCAAGCTTTGATAGTTGAGAAAGCTAGTTCAATAGGGTTAAAATCAGGGAAATATGGTGGTAGAAATAAGACACGCCCTCCTAGCTCCTCAATAATTGATACCCATTCAGCATTGTGATGAATCCTCGCATTATCCATCACCAGAACACTATTCTTGCCAGGAAAGGGATTCATATTGGGGATCTATAATTATAATTAGTAAAACCTTCAGTTCTTCAGCTTAGAATTATAACTAATGTACATACCACTTGGGAAAGTATAAATTCTTCAAACTTTTTTTTGTTATAACTTCCC